ATAATAAAGACGAAAGGTAAGAAAGTGATATTCAATTCTGACGATTGTTTCTCATTCAATAAGCGGAATTATTCTTACTCACGAAATTTACTAACTCTTACTTAACGTTAAACATTATCAGACGTTATGATATGACTGGAAAGTTCAAAGTTCAAACATTTTAAAGTAATGAATCTATAAAAGGAAATCTGAAATTGCGAATTTCTAAAGTATATTTTCCCTTAGAGCAGTTCATATTATCATATTCTGAACTATTGAACACTGGTATAATTGTTCTCCAAGTAATCATGAAAAATAAGTAATTGGAAAACGAAAAATTGCTAGAATCATTTATTTTTAAAGTTAAAAAGAATATTATATGTTGTTGAACTTTTTATAATGGCTGAAGAAAGTTATCGAACAAGATTGTTGTTTCATTATGAAGCAAGATGGACACCAGTAGACCTACTTCCGAGAATAACCTTCTTTAAAACAATTAATTTAATGTTATTTTGATATAAAGTAATATATATGTTCAAGTCGTTGACCTGATTCAAAAGTTGTTTTCAGGAAACCATTAAAAGTTGGACAATGGCTTATAAAACTTGGAATAATAGACTTAGATTTATAGACTTTACACCATTTCTCTGGGGCTTAACTCGAGACAATGGCTGAAAATTAAATCAAAACATTTAATGAATAAAATTATAATGTTCACATTGTTCCGAGGACTATAATCTGTATTGATTAACGTAAACTATAATAGTTAGATTGTTGTCTGGATTTTATATGATTAGATTAGATCTTGACACACTAATCTCATTTGCTTCAGTTAGAATACCTGCAAAACTCGTCGTGGCGGTAAAATCTCATTTATTACTTCTCTCTCTGGTTTGTATTCACCTACTTTACACTTCCGAGAAAGTTAGGTCAAAACTTTAGTTTGATTAAACATGCTACAAAAAGTTGAGAGCCCTCATGTGGTTGAAAATCAGATTATTGATTTTGCTGTTAAGGTTCCATGCTGAAAGATTTTGAAATTTGCCAGTAGGTGTCTTCAGTTATTCCAAATTCCATCTGTATAATGGTATGCCGTCATGTCGGATGACCCATTGATGGTAAAATCGTGGAATTAAGACAAGCATACCTTACTGAAAAGTGGTCGTCGGCATTACGATTGAATTACAGATTTGATTGCCAGTGACTGTCTTCAGTTATGTCCTTCCTATCTGGGAATTGAGATGTCGACATGACGAACGATTAGTTTTAGATATAGGCCCTACACCTCTCCACCCTGACATCTGGTTGTTGACATTGGTTTTAGCTTCCTAAAATCTTTGAATAGTTTTCATTTTTGCCTCCTTGAAATGTCGATATTGTTTGTAAGCCCTCGATCTAATTTGACAATGTCTGAATATTGAATATATTATAATCAGCAATTTTTGCCAGTTGGTAATCGGGCTGTTTGCAATGATCTTGAAACAATTGCGTATAGAGAAAGAATTGCTTTCCTGTATATCTACCTCTCTGTTTTATTTTTAAACATTTGGATGAAATATGTATGTTAAGGTATTGTTTTAATCTATAGACATCTATAGATGTATTTATTCAAAGTACATTTTTCCAAGAAGAGTAAAAAAAGAAAATCAAATAGCAATGCAATAATAGTTACCATACAACAAACAATTGTAGGATAAATTATAAACTATTACTCATATTAATTTCACTATCAATCTGGACACGGTTGATTAGATAGTCAATAACTGACCAGCTAGTTTTAAATATAATATACTATTTATAATATAGTAACGGTGTTGAGAAAGGTGTGTTGATACTTGTTAATGGCTATTGAGATCAGTCCAGCTAGACTGACAAATCAATGGTGAAATCGGATTATACGATAGTACAGGAAGGTGTAGTGTTATTATGTGTCACTAAGATATGAATGGACACAATATTATGTTTGCTGTGAGTTCAGTCAGTATAGACGTTGACCCATACCGGCCACATTCAGTAAGTTCATATCAATTTTATATATTAATATTAGACAAGACTTGACAGAAATCAGAAATGAGTTTTATTGAATAAGCCAAAATGTTTTCTGACAATTCTGTACTTATTTTTTTTTTCAATTGTTTGAAAAAGGTTCTGGTTTCAGATTGTCTTCAGATGACTTAAAACTATATTTTTAATACATTTTCAGAAATATTTTCCTACGAGAAATACTAATAAATATATATTGAATATGTAGAAAGTACTTAGATTTAAAAAAAAAACACCGAAAAATGAAATGACCGGAATGAAAGGATTTCTGTATTAAAACAGAACATTGTATACGAGATATTACAAATAATATATTAAAAAGTAGTTGAGCAACACAACAATTTATGATTTGATAACTATAGAAAATACTCCAGTTTATCTGATAAATAATTGTGTTCTAGCTCGCCAATATATCCCACTCTTTAATAGAAAGGTAGAAATCGTTGATTTGGTTTTGCTTCTATGTCAAAAATTTTACCATGTGCTTTGAAATATTTTATAAAAGTTTGCAAGGAATAATCGGATTGCAAGGATTATTGTAAAAAGGTTGAGTTTCCTATTTGAAAACATTTTCAAGTTTGGGTTTATGTTTTATTTGGATTATATTGAGTATCTAATGTCTCAATATTTAGATTGTGTTGAATGTTCTATTCTAATGTCTCAATATTTAGGTTGTGTTGAATGTTCTATTCTAATGTCTCAATATTTAGATTGTGTTGAATGTTCTATTTCAATGTCTCAATATTTAGGTTGTGTTGAACATTCCATTCCAATGTCTTAATATTTAGGTTGTGTTGAATGTTCTATTCTAATGTCTCAATATTTAGATTGTGTTGAATGTTTTATTCTAATGTCTCAATATTTAGGTTGTGTTCAATGTTCTATTATAATGTCTCAATATTTAGGTTGTGTTGAATGTTCTATTCTAATGTCTCAATATTTAGGTTGTGCTGAATGTTCTATTCTAATATCTCAATATTTAAGGTATGTTGAATGTTCTATTCTAATGTCTCAATATTTAGATTGTGTTGAATGTTCTATTTTAATGTCTCAATATTTAGGTTGTGTTGAATGTTCTATTCTAAAATCTCAATATTTTGGTTGTGTTGAATGTTCTATTCTAATGTCTCAATATTTAGGTTGTGTTGAATGTTCTATTTTAATGTCTCAATATTTGAGGTATGTTGAATGTTCTATTCTAATGTCTCAATATTTAGGTTGTGTTGAATGTTCTATTCTAATGTCTCAATATTTAGGTTGTGTTGAATGTTCTATTTCAATGTCTCAATATTTAGGTTGTGTTGAATGTTCTATTCTAATGTCTCAATATTTAGATTGTGTTGAATGTTCTATTCTAATGTCTCAATATTTAGGTTGTGTTGAATGTTCTATTCTAAAGTCTCAATATTTAGGTTGCGTTAAATGTTCTATTCTAATGTCTCAATATTTAGGTTGTGTTGAATGTTCTATTCTAATGTCTCAATATTTAGGTTGTGTTAAATGTTCTATTCTAATGTCTCAATATTTAGGTTGTGTTGAATGTTCTATTCTAATGTCTCAATAATTAGATTGTGTTGAATGTTCTATTCTAATGTTTCAATATTTAGGTTGTGTTGAATGTTCTATTCTAATGTTTCAATATTTAGGTTGTGTTGAATGTTCTATTCTAATGTCTCAATATTTAGGTTGTGTTGAATGTTCTATTCTAATGTTTCAATATTTAGGTTGTGTTGAATGTTCTATTCTAATGTCTCAATATTTAGATTGTGTTGAATGTTCTATTCTAATGTCTCAATATTTAGGTTGTGTTGAATGTTCTATTCTAATGTCTCAATATTTAGGTTGTGTTGAATGTTCTATTCTAATGTCTCAATATTTAGATTGTGTTGAATGTTTTATTCTAATGTCTCAATATTTAGGTTGTGTTGAATGTTCTATTCTAATGTCTCAATATTTAGTTGTGTTGAATGTTCTATTTTAATGTCTCAATATTTAGGTTGTGTTGAATGTTCTATTCTAATGTCTCAATATTTAGGTTGTGTTGAATGTTCTATTTTAATGTCTCATTATTTAGATTGTGTTAAATGTTCTAATTTAATGTCTCAATATTTAGGTTGTGTTGAATGTTCTATTCTAATGTCTCAATATTTAGGTTGTGTTGAATGTTATATTTTAAAGTCTCAATATTTAGATTGTTTTGAATGTTCTATTTTAATGTCTCAATATTTAGGTTGTGTTGAATGTTCTATTCTAATGTCTCAATATTTAGGTTGTGTTGAATGTTCTATTCTAATGTTTCAATATTTAGGTTGTGTTGAATGTTCTATTCTAATGTTTCAATATTTAGGTTGTGTTGAATGTTTTATTCTAATGTCTCAATATTTAGGTTGTGTTGAATGTTCTATTTTAATGTCTCAATATTTAGATTGTGTTGAATGTTCTATTCTAATGTCTCAATATTTAGATTGTGTTGAATGTTCTATTCTAATGTGTCAATATTTAGGTTGTGTTGAATGTTCTATTCTAATGTGTCAATATTTAGATTGTCTTGAATGTTCTATTCTAATGTCTCAATATTTAGATTGTGTTGAATGTTCCATTCAAATGTCTCAATATTTATGTTGTGTTTAGTGTTTTATGTCGAAAAGGGAAGACCTGGGTTTCCATGTGTCAGTTTTCTGAGTAAACTAAAAAAGACATCCATCATTTGTTAATATACAATTATAACTTTGGCTGCACTTTTCTGTACTTTTTAAAATGCCATATGACGTATTGAATTTTTTATATGAAGTATATGAAGTATTGTGTCATAAAAGTCTCCAGTTTCAAAATATCTGGGTTAAAATATAGAACAATACAATAGTGTGATCGAATTAATATAATATATTAGTATGAGTTATGTTCATTGAAGTGTAGAGAAGATATTTAAGATATTTCTTATTGGCAATCCGTGTATTTATATTTGTCGACCGGAAAACATGGCGTCCAGGAAACCTAGTATTAAAAAGAAAAAAATGTAAGTTTGTTATTAACTTGAATATCTTAAATTAGTGATAATAATTGCTGTATATTTATATAACTTTTTTCGATGAAATTTGTTGATAAGTTATAACCTCTGTTCACCAGCACAGACATACCATATTGGTGTGTAATAAATATACCCAATGACCAATATAATCTATATAAACTCTTCAAAATGGAAAAAATTGTTTGTTAAAATTTCAATTTTCTGTTCTGAGTCGAGGTAGCTAACCATTTATAATCCTAATCTGAATTCAACCCACAACAGACTTCTAATCAGTTGTTTGAACTTAAATAATTTTTCAATTTCTTATTTAGACAGTTGTGCAATCTACAGAAAAATAACATTAAATTATTTGCTTAGTGAACTTAAAAGGGACCTTTATCTAGTCAATTACCTTTTTATTTATCAAATTGCCTGCTATAAGAGCCTTTAATGTACCTTTTTATATCTAATATTTGTTTTATAAGTGTTGTTTAACAAGGCATAAAACACTATAAGGGCGTGACCCATACTGAATGTTTTAATGAGTTTTTTTTTCATACTTAGTAATGATATGATAATAATATACATAACAGATAACAACACACGAAGTAATTTATGTGCAGTAATGTCTCTGTATACTAAGTTTACAGAGCTTTACACAGGGTGCTTGCTCAGATCCAAACCGTTGCCTGAGATCTTTAATTTCAATTGACTTGATCTTGGAGCTTTCAATTCAACATTTGTTTGAAGCATGACAGCGCCACATATTTGCTTTATAAATGACAAGCAAACGAAAAGGAAAAGTTTTTTTGTTCAAATAAAGTTACCATATAGACTCGACAATTCTTTATCAAGAATACAAACCAAGGCGTTCCTCACCATAGTAATAGTGACGCTATAATTTTGAATATTTTTTAATAAGATGATTTATTAACCTCTTTAAGTGGCAAATGAAAACTCCCCTACTGAGATTATATTTAAACAAATCAATATTTTGTCAGTTTAACAGGTGTGAAAACCGTGATAAAACGAACATATAACGTTGCCTCTCATTGATATAATAGATTATATTTATAATAAGTGCATGACATCGCCATTGTCGCAGGTGTGATTTTTCGACATTGATGCTTGATGAATATCTTTACTTAAAGTGGTGTAAAACCAAGCCAATAGCGTCTGGCAAATAATCTAATGTAGTATTATACAAAGTTGTCATTTTGTAAACCAGGACCAAAACCAGGAGATGGTTTACTTTAGAGATTAATTAGCCATCATATTAAAAAAAACAATCCCACTCCATACTATACAAAAGTCACACCAAAAGCGAATAATCAACTTGGTATCTAGAATAGTGCTTGAATGTTGTAATGAGACATCATATAGGATTTTGAGGCGGTGTTTTTGATATTTGTATCCGATTTCCAAACGCCCTCTTACCTTCATACTTATACCCTTTATTACTTACATAATACAATATTTCAACATAGCGAGTCGGTCAAGCGATCCTCTTTAATTTATACTATTGGTTAAACTCGTCATACCTTTGATATGTGCCAATCGGTCAGCCGAAAGACAAACACATCAATGGGGTAAAATCTTTTTGTGTTGCGCTTTTTAATGATCAATCTGTTCTGTGGTTTCATTTGTGGAATTCAGTTTATTATTAGTGTTGAGAGTCTATTTCGCTATATCGCCTTTTCGTAGTTATATAATTTAACAGATAGGCCTACCTATGCATTAAATTACGAGAAAGGCTGAAGGACTGGATCTTTACGATTTGTGGGGGGGTGGGATTATTGTTTATCGTAATGTAACAGTCGATAAGACTATTCAATAAAATAGCAACAGGAGTATTAATGACTAATATACCCAAATAAAATATTAATATTAGTATATATTGTATAGGATAAACCATAATAGAAATAATAACAGTTTTGTCTATTGTTAAGCTTAGTAAATACTTTAATTATTATGTTTATAAACCTGTATTCAACCTACACAAAGATATAACTTATAACCTTATTAGTCTCTCAAAAGTCTTTTTATATTGAATGTCCATCAAAACTTTTTCGTTGGACTCGAAATAAGGAAAGATCACGGACAAGAAGGAAAGAGAGAAATAAAAAGAAAGAGAGAAATACCTATGATTAAAGTGTAGCATCTAATGATCCGAGGACTTTCTACCAGTTGGTCCTTAGTCAATTCTTTTAGAAATTATCTTTTACAGATTATACCTTTCGATTTATCGCTAGGTCGACGACTCATGGGATTACGGATAACTAGGACACACTATACTATAGTACCACACCATAGTTTGACTGTTGTACAAGGCTGTTTCAAAAACCTATTCTGTAACATTTCAGGAGTGACAGTGTAGACAGCATGAAGAAAGATATAAGCTGTAATGTATCAACTGGTACAGAACATCCTCGCTTAGTCGAGGAGGCAAAGTAAGTACCAGAATTATTACTGTAACAAATCGTTCATTTCAAAGATAGATAAAATAAACCATTAAATCGTGGAGTGCCCTCTGTCTTAAGGATCATACCTGATTTTGACATGACGCATTTGGTTACTAAATGAATCTGTTGCAGAATTTGACCAGTGGCTCAACTACCATAGGGACTCGTTGAACCAAGTGACTGAAGTATCATTGAGTGTTCCATTTGTTTTTCCAGTTTGAAAGCTTCGTACCAACCAGGAAAGAAAGGCGGGAACTTTGGATTACCGCTAGGTGCCAAATTAACTGTACCAGAAGGCAACTTCAATAAGAAAGAAAGCATCACATGTCAAGTCACATCTCCCTCTACAAGATGGCGCCACTGTCCACAATTACCAGCAGACGAACATATCACCAGCGAAATATTTAAACTTACGTCATCAGTTCACATAATGAAGACACCAATCATCGTTCAGCTACCATATTACCCTCTTCAAAATGATAAATGCGAAATAAACGTGAAAGGAAAATGGCGCGGAGAACTAGAATGGGTTGATGTTGGTTTTCTCAAAAAGGTAAGTAACGACTGGAATATTTGGAACTTTTAGTTTGAAGACAAGCGTCCCGTGCTCGGAATTGAACAAATAATTTAGAGAATTTCGCGTAATGTGTCAGTCTGCATATATGCTGTAGAACATAGATAGAAGTTAATGTGGGTTAGTGACCAATGTCTATCTTTTTTAGTTTCCAGTTGCCATCAGATCTTTTCTTTATATCATTAACAGAGTGATACCAAGCCACCAAGTGTTGAGTTGGAATTAGATCGTCTGGGACAATTTATCGTTACTTTTACCTGCAAACAGGAGATCTTCAACGTTACGTCCCAAGGTTGTTTACACAATGCCCGGATTAGCCGCTATATCAGCTGTAGATTTCCCAGGAAAGCTACCGAATCAAATTTACAATGTGCAATCAAGGTATATCAACTATTTATTTTTATCAAAAGACTATCTTTCAGAAGACTTTAATCGACTAAACATGTTTCGTTGATTCAGAAACACACACCAGCTGTTTGCAATGTCTGGCTGCTTGTTCTGATTACTATCCAAGATTAATAATTATTATCATCTATGTGCATTTCATCTTTAATGTGGCATAATTTTTTTTTAATTAGTTCCTATTATTATGGTGTTTGTCAGCCCGGAATGTCGGAGATTCAAGGCACCTTTTATTCAATTTTAATATTCGGTATGTTCATTGATTACAGATTTTACCAATACCACAAGAAAAACTAGAAGAAGTGAAAAAAGAACACGCAAGAGAATGTAATGATTTAGTAACTACAACAGAATTCATAGATATAATACCCAGCATACCTTGTAACTTCCGGCGTTCAGTCACAGTAAAACTACCATTGCCTTCTGGGATAGAAATAGAGAAAGAACAGGAACCGAATGTTGGTGTCCTGTTGAAAAATGGCTCAGCTTGGGAATTGGTTGAATCTCATCAAAAATTTACCAGAACAACTGTTTCTGTTGATGTCAAATCTTTGGGAAGGTATGTCACAATCACTTTATGACATCCAACATCATTATGATCATGAAAAGCTAATAAGATCGTTCAACCTCATTGTCAATACCATGCACCATTGATTACTTTGTCTAAATTGTCCAGTAGTTGAATGTTAAATTTTCACCTACAATCAAGGAACAGACCAACGAACTAAACACTTTTGTAATATGACGCTTTATCGTTTTTGTTATTTCAGATTTTGTGTGGCAATATCAAATCCAGAGAGAAAACCACGATTAAGAGAAGCTATACGATTTGTTGAAGGTAGTAATGATACTGATAAAGGGGAGATTGTTCTCTATCTATCACTACAGGAGAAGTCCTGGGAAGGGGTGGTCGAATGTCTACCAGAACATAAAGCTAAATCAAGAATCGCCGATAGACAAGACCGAGGATTTAAAGTCATCAATAAAGTAAAAGTTGTACCTAAAGTTGAAGAAAAGAGAGTGTACAGTCGACGGTATATACCACCTAAAGAGACCAAACCAGTGGAACCAGAAGGTTTTGATATATATGATGGTTTAAGTTGGGAAATATGTGTCGGGTCAGATATTAAGATAACTAATGATAGTGATATCAGTGATAATAGTGAATTGTGTTATTACAGGTAAGTACTATTATAACAACCAACAAATCTCTCAACCGCCCTCGTGTCGAAATCACCCATATCAGATACTTTTTTTGAATCAATCAAATGTGTCCACTCATCAAAGTGGTAGCCTTCCTATATAAATGGAAAATCGTTTTTCACTTTATTGACTGATCAGGAGAGATACATTGTTGATAGGGGGAAATACCCAGCTTCCGATACATTCCGTATATAATGTTTGTTTACAACAATGTTTGAACTTTCGAGCTCTTCTCTGCGTATACTTGTTTTAGAAAATTGTCATTTCATTTCATTTCCAGACACTTACCAGAGAGTTATAGAAAATTTGAATTTGAACCATTGAAAAATGACGAGAACACATTGTCTGGTGTAGTAGAGCTGGTACCCATTGGAATAGAAGACGAACAACTAATAAAGAGACTAACCATCAGGTTTGAATTCGTCATTGACGAAGACACAGTAAAGAATTACTTCAAACCAGAGTTCGTTCCAGAACCAGAACCTGAAAAAATACGTGTAACCTTTGACCTACCTGAATTAAAACCAATAAAAGAAGAGAAGCCTCCACCAGTTGTACCTGTACAGAAAATTAAAACGATATCTGCTTCAGTTATGGATAGGTTGACCAAATCTACCAAGAAGCCACGAATAAGTAAGTTAAAGTTTGTCAGCACCATAGAATCATGTTTCTTAAAATATCTTGTACCAGTATAGTTTTCTTGCTGATAGATTGTATTGGAAGCACATTTCTTCCTACTAACGCCCTACGTTAGATAGTGACATTTCAGTTTCCATTGCCTAATAATTACCTATTCATTATGGTGGATATTAGAAGCAGTCAAAGAGCCACAAATCCAAATGCAAATTTGTACTCTGGTAATCACTTATACTTATTCATATCCTATCTTTGTAGTTGATAGAGAAGCACGAGTTATAACAGGAAAGAGTTTGATGAATTTATCCAGAAAGGTTCCAGAGGGACTGACACTGGCAGTACACCTTGATTTACCTGACAGTACCATCACTGGTCTAGGCTTTGACGCAATATCTAATGGTCTCACAATGGCAGATGTAACGTACAAGATCCTCCTCTATTGGAAACGGAAGTTGAAAGATAAACGTGATTCAGCAGTAAATGAATTAGTGTCGGCGCTTGGGTCTATGGGAAGACCAGATATTGGTGCCATTATTTTACACTGTCACCATGACAATAAAGAACTGACAGAAGAATATCTAAATAACAGTGTATATTAAGACGTTCATCTGGTTTCTCATCATTTCATCTAATTTTCACTTGGATTGAAGTTAATCATCTCCTTGTATTCCATATCTATCAAACTAGTTCTGACATCTGACATAACTTGCAATTTGTGTGCTGGCTAATTTTACTAATTTCTATATCATGCTTAGATCGTGGTTTCTTTAAACGCCATGTAAAAGGCTTCTGGTTCAGAAATCTGCCCTTGCTCGAAAGAGCTTACTTTACCGAATTCGTATGCGCCGCGCATTAAAATTGAAAGGAAATGAATTAGAATTTCGCCAAAATTAGATGTAATTACATGTATTGATTGTAAATGTTAATATTATTATCTATTCGATGTGTGCCTGTGATAAATTATCCGTCCAAAAAAGTTTGTTGTCAACTCATGCCTTTTTAAACTGCTGAAATTTAAATATTATACATTGTGATAGAAAGTGCTTTTAAATATTGACCAAATAATATATTAATGATATTAAATATATGTTTGTAAATAATGTCTTCATTAATATATGGTATATTAAATTTTTGTTTATAATATTGTGTTTTAATATGGAATAGCATAACTAATTAGGCGTTCAAAAGAAATCAAAATCAAAATCAAATTCAGTTAAAATCCAGGAATACGTACATGCATTGTTACAGTTTTCATATGGAAAGAAATTACAGTTTTCACAATATCAGTGTCACCTTACGCAGGTATTAACTGTTCGTGAACTTAATTGATCGTTTGATACAATTTAAGAGTATTGAAACAAAAAACTATCGTTATGGTTGATAAATTTCCCAATGAAAAGCTCTAAATTACTGATGGTATCCGAGCCGCAAATCCAACACATTCAAAAATGATAAATAACGCATAATTTCTTGTATCTTTGTCTATGACACAATTGAACATAGGTATCTGAAGCATTACCCCCTCATGGTATTAAAATCATTGCAAAGATTGGAAGTGTAGGTCTTTTTATCAACTATTATGCAAGCTGAATACAAATACGAATTGGAAAACCAAGCGTTAAGGAACACACCGCTGAATGAGGATATTTTGTGACAAAGGAGATCACAACAAGATTCTTGTTTTTGAATTCCAGCTGTCAAATCAAATGAAAAGGATCGTACGTTGAACAATGTGATGGTTTACAGAAAAAATTGGAAATTATGACTTTGAAATTTTATTAACAATATAATATAATATAAAAATACTAATTACCATAAACATAAAACGTTGAATAAAACTTACTTCAATACAATAGTGGTCTGGTTTCTGTCGTAATTCAAATAAATTAAAATATTAATTTTCAAAATTTGATTTGCCAATACAAATTTGTACTAAATGTATTTCTTATCTCAAGAAACTTAAATTTTCATATCATATTTTAGAAACGCAACTTCACAATGACATGTTTCTTAAATCTCTGATTTACGAATTTGAATTTTATTTGTATCTCATCTACAATCGATGGTTTGTAAGTATTTACATTTGTCTCTACCTCCTAATTGGTCTATTCTAAATTTCGAAAACTCTACTGAATCTGGGTGGATAAAGATAGTTGGGTAGGAAGGGACTGTCACGAGATCTATTTATATTAATAACAATAACAATCTAATATAATCTAAACAATAACAATATAAATATTATCTAATTTATGACGAAATATAGAAAATAACATTCGATAACCATTTTACAATACATACACTTAAATATCAGTATTGAGAATATTCCCCATAGTAGCTTCAGATTTGATTTTCATAAATATAAGTACATGTAGTTGGAATTTGATTTGTACAATAGTTAGTTACAAAGAAACTGCTAAAAGTTCTAAAATAATATTTGATTTTATAATCAAAAAGTCATACTGTTAACAAACACAGTAATGTCTGCATGGCTCTCATACATTGTTTTTAAAAAATTTTATTTTGATGCCGATGTGATTTTATAAGTAGTGAAGTAACCAGTTTAAAAACTAAATGCATAAGAATCATTCATTACGTCATTCATTTCACTTGATCGGCATAATTGAAAATGGAATGTTATTTCTGTCTGTCTGGCAAACTTTAAATACATAGCATTTTGTTATAATACAGAAACACTGATAGCTATTTCACTAGAGATCACATAAAGCTCTATTCTACTATATATATTCAGAGCCATCACCCGGTCTGCTAAATAACTACTGTCTACCTGAGTGAAATATGAGGTCCATAAATGAATAAATAACATTGAAGATATCGCTTGGAAGAATTTTATATTGCAGATCAAGTCCATTACACTCTCTTTTTATTCTTACTTTCTGCATGTTGTGTTTTGAAATTATATCTGAAATTTATGCAACTTGCATAGTCACGTCTACAAAATTAGGTCGCAAATCCCTATACATAGATAAACTAGCTTATATTAAAATGATCTACTTCCGGAAAGGAGAAAACATTCCAAACCATGCCAATGTAACTATATTTTGCATTGCCTGTATTTCTGCAATATAAATCAAAGGGCTAGACTACTGTTTTCTAGAAACTGAAAGGTTTTCTATGATTTAGAAAGAATATTTTTTGATAATGTCGATTTTTTAGCAGTAATAATTTCCTCTACTTTAATACCACAACCTTTGTTACTATTCTTATTAAACAATACGTTTAAGAATAAATAATGAAAATACGCGGATACGTTTGGACTACTACAAAACATTGACGACATAAATTATTTCGTTAAACTCTATGTACATTGTATTTCAAAACTTGAATAACAAAAAATAAAATAATAGATAAAGGTAAATAATGATTATTGCTAAATAGGGCAAGTGAAAGAATAAAGCCCAATACTTCAAAACATTGGTATTGCACATACAAAGCTTGATCTAGAGTGGCCTCCCTTGTGATAGAAACTTTATTAATAATTGCCATTTTGTTGTATGTGTTCATAGCAAGTCAGGTCTCTTTTTTTTAAATGCTTATATGATAAGCCTTGTCTACACGGTAGCCTATATCTAATGATCAGTCATTGGCAGTTTTCTGATGGACACAAACATTTTTCAATACAAGGGCAATCTCAGGATATTTTTCACTTCTAAATTAAAGAAAATCTGAAAATGCTTGTAACTTGTTATAAAGATACAGAACTGAATGTAAATTGGTTTCCTGTTCAAACAAACAATGAAAGCAAATAAATCATTGACATTGATTATAAATAGGCTAGAAATTAACTGCTGTAGCTTTATTATGAACATGGCATGTCAGGCAACACGATTTACACAAACCCGCTTTATGATTTTTGGTTTAATATGTCTAGAAATCCAAACTCAGCTGTAGGATTTCTAATCAGCTGCCATAATTAATAATACTAAGTTACTTGCCATTATAATCAACCGTAACAAGGACAAATAATTAAAAAATGTTTAAAAATATGGGTCGATTTTAGTTAGTAATAACTGTAATAATAATGCTTGGGGAATTAATATGTGCCCTCGTAGTAACACTTTTACTTAAGTTGCGACGTCTAAATTCCTGCAAGTTGTATATGGTACCTACAGCTTCATAATAATATAGTTCACTGCATTTATTAAAGTGAGGAATTAGCTTTGTAAAATTAACAAGTAGACGAAATAAGACGTAATATACAATCCTGGCGTTTTTTGTTTTAATACACCTACTACTTATGATAGATTCAAAACTCTTATACTAAATTGACAAAATTTTTAAAGTTGGAAGTTTCTAAAGACTAACTAGATGTAAATCATTAATTACTGTAGATATGGGTTCAGCGCAACTTCTATTAGCTGTCCGTCGAACAATATTTTCAATTAACACACTATCGACAATATTAAGTACAAGTTATACAAAATTTGGATTAAATTTCATTATATTCATTGTATTCATTCATTTAAAAACGAGTAGATATCGCTACGTGTAGTAAGAACACGTAGTTATTTCACCATCTAATTCTGAAGATCGTTTGCAACCAAATTTTATAATTAAACTTCATATTTTCTAAAAAAAAAAATTCACGATCTGATACCGAAGTCGTCTGTGATCAATTTAACTAATATTATGTTACACTGAACCCGTATCAATAAATAGTCGTTAAAACTAAAATGACCTCAATATCAAAAAGTATAGCATAAAAAAAATCCTGCAGACGCCAAATGATGATCGTTCATAGCTTCTAAAATCTTCACAACTCATAAGTGAACGAATAATCCAAATCTCCTCCAAAAACTGAACTGATTCCAATTGTTCATCTTCCACCTTATTACCATTCCTATTCCGCTTTTACTGCTGGGTTTTTGATATTGAGGCCACCATTCTGTCAGTCGGATTGCAGGTTTTCAGAATTCTCGAATCTGAAAGAAAAAAATCACGAATATACGGCTGATTGGTATCAGCAGAGAAACATGACTGTATTCTGAATACTTTAGAAAGATGACAAATCATTGAAATACAAGTTATAGCGAAACGTGATTTGTTTTCTTTGGAATTTAGCAAAAAAAAAAATGAATCAAGATGTTCTGTCATAGTGGTCGTTGGTGGGTACAAGAAGCGACATACAATGAGCAGAACGGGCAGGCATTCGATCATAATGACCAGGTTGTTCCAGACGATCAAAGATTGTCGACTATTAGAAATCATCAGAGCCATCGATAATGGAAAACGTGGGAAGATAATGAATTATTTGTGGCTAGTTATCGTACTGGGTATTGGAGAATTTAGATTAATGAAATAAGTGATAATCTGATTCTACCATGCTATAAAATATTAGACTAATTACCGTTTTGTTTTACAGCAATACCACACACTAAGGCCCACAACAAACGCTGCTATAATAGCCAGGATAATAACCACTATTAGGGCCGTTTCACATCCAGATAAATGGGCTGAAATACAGATTTGATATCAATAGTCATTTTATACTTAAATGACTGCTATTACCACTACCAGACAAATTAATTGATGGATTATGTTGTCCGACTGGCAACTAAAAAAATGGTAATAGAACACTGTTGGCTCTAGATTAGCCATCTCCACAACCTCAAACTATTATGAACTGTGCCTTATACCTTGACGGCAATAGCCACCTTTTGTGTATCTGGGAAGTTTGTGATTTTGGTTGGATTGTACGTTAGCGAATACCGGTCAATTTCAGTTCTAGAAAAAAGTTTGTTAACAATACAGTCTTTCTGTCGAGGGCTTTGATTAGCTGTATTCTGGACGTACCATCCAATCAAATCGATGCATTCCGTGATACAAGAAAGGTGGCTATTGCAATCAAGGTATAAGATGGAAGTTCGTAATAAATGTAGCTTGATTTTGTGAAGATGTAGCATAGCTGGATGGCATCAACAAATTTATTTAGAAAGGGATGTTCCGAAACTTTCTAATTTAAACTGTGTGTCAATTTTACATTACTTATATAATGGATTTCAAAATTATTTGTTCCCAATTCCGATCATAATTAAATATATGTCCTGATAAGTTTATCGAGAGCATCAACCATAATTTCCAGACATAGGCGTCACTCTGGCGGTTGACATTTCCTCTGGAACATACCAGAATGGACTAAGAGTAAGCAGGAGTAGTGTAGAATGATTGACAATAAACAGTGAAAGAGATACAATTGATTTTAGCCAGCTTAACCAAGTCTGGAGGCAAAAATCAATGTGACTGTCCTGTTTAATATATTTTTACTCCTGTTTATATTTTTATACCAGAAACTAAATTTAGTAGTTTTTATTGGTAAACTCATTAGATTGGTATACACCATAACTACTTAGATTTCTCATGACACTACCAACACCAAACAATCCCGACTAATTTACTGACTATAGGCCTAATGAGTCTTTTTACCTAAATTGAATTGATAGTGACAAAATATGTGCGGAGATTCTAGTGTCCATTTCCCTACTCAATTGACAGAGCTAAATTTAAGTTGGATCCTACAATGTAACATTTTTCTAAGAACACTTCAATTTAGTAGGTTTGCTTTAAGTATTTCGATTCAAATAAACGATTCAGGGAATCAACACATAACCAATACAGCCAATAAAGCCAATAATGTTTCAATGTCATTGTCCCTATTTCAAAAAAGAAATGAGAAAGCATTACTGGCATGTTTAAGAGAAGGCCTAATGGAATATTACGGAATTAGGAAGCCTTGCGTTGGAAGGCCATGTTTTAGTATGTTTCAATCTGTCACTGTCCCGTCATTTTTCCAAGGCTGATCATTTTGTAGATTGAATTAAACCTTTGAGATATTTTGCATTATGGCATGCAGCCTACATAATATAACATGTATTTGAAACTTATACAATGAGCTAACTTCCTTGGGCCATGCCTTCACTTCGAAATATGTTATCCCCTTTTGCTGTCCAATCGTATACATGTATATTCATTTTCATTTGTTCACAAATTTAAGTGCCAATGTCTTAGATGCATTAAATGCCACCTTCTTCCACTGTTTCCTAACTTGCAATTCCATATTTTGAAAGAAACAACATAAGGTCTACCAAATACTCCAAGAGTAATAAAAGGTTTTCACATGCAGCAGACGTCCAATCTCTATTATAAAAGTTTAGGCGTACCAAATTCCCGCCAAAATTAAAGTTTCGGTGTACCAATTTCCCGCCAAAATTCCTTCAGACGTGATCTCGAGACTGTCAATAGAATACGAGATTTTTATAAAGAACATTAGGTTTAATTGATGGACTGCTAACAGCAATACAGTCTAGCGGGTTCCCATTATAATTAAATGATATTAAAGCAGGAATTCTAACTATATAAATCATATCGGTAGTGAAATAAGCAGGTCTAGTATTGATACTGATAATAAATCATTTACTGTAATCAGTATGTGTATTAACTACTATAATAAAATACTTGATTATATAAAACTGGCTAGTAATTGTACGTATTGAGTGATTGTATTTCAATCGTTATACTTTAATTATGTCTCTTTGTTCAATGTATGATTACAGAAGCGTTCAGTGTATAGTTACCGGAGTGTAGTTTCAAACACCGGAAATTTACACTGCACTTTTTATTAAAAAACGCACACACTTGTAGTATGTACTGGAAAATGGAACGACAATAAACATAGCTATTGAGTCGTTTAAAGTTGCAGTCTGGATAATTTAGTAAAAATTGACAATTAAGCTGCCTAAATCGATATAGCTACCATTTTAGATAATAAATTACACCATGACAATTTTTATATTAAAGAAAGAAGATAGATAGTTCGGAGAATGCTCAAGGTGAAAAAAGTCGGAATTTAAGTTTTAAGAAAATTTTCCAGAAATATGTTCGCATTAGTCCGCAACTGATTTACCGGAAGAACATCTAAACGATGTTCTAGGGAAAGAGTTACGTTTAAATGCAAGAAATTTTTTATATTCCAAAGCGAAATAAAATGGGCATGTTCACTTTTTTTCAAAAACCGTCTTTTGTCATAAAACTTTAGTCTTGTAATCAGCGGAGATAGTCAAATAAAATATGCTGCTCTATAAACTGTTTTGTGAAAGTAAACAGCAATAATGGTGGAGGATGTAGGTCAGATGGATAAACAGATGATGTATTTCCTGAAGAAGCCATTATAAAATAACATTATATTGATAGAATGTTTATTGGAACTATACTATTATTGAGAGTTATAAATGACTTGATTTCATGTTATTTTACAGTTTCAGAATAGAATTATATTGGGTGGAAGTTATAAGCAGTTACCTATCTTAATACAATTTATATTTTTTTCACATAGATTCTATAAACTGTGAAAAAAGTGAAATATGACATTCATCGGACACAATCAGCTCCACTAGAGGGAAACCGTCAATCTCAAATTACCATTCATGACATCCAATTATTTGCACGACCATCTTTGGATAAGTTGAAGAGTCAAGTTGAAAATTTCGACTGTTAACAAGATTCATAATACACTATACTATCAATTTCAGTCAGAATAAGTTTTTGGCTCGAGTTTTTATAGGCAGGCCACAAGAGCTATCATCATAATTACATTTAGTACAGAAATTCTTCCAGAGACAAAAAGCTTATCAATGTGACAAACATAATTCTCCAGAGAAAATCTGGCCAGAAAAAATATAATAATTCCTTTTTGTGGTTACTTTAGGTTATTGATCGGTGTAATGCTTCAATAATAATCATTGACTGACAGTCACGTGACTAAAACTGACTTCATTGATTTCAAGATTTTTTCTAATTGACTCTGAAGTCAACTGTGCTAATAAATCAACTCAACCTTCAGGCAAATTTGCGTTCTTAGATTTTTTTATTAAAGTATTTTACGCCTAAATGAGATTGTTTATTTTGAGTTTAAACACCACAGAAATATGAAGGTACTTCCGGTTGGGAAGAGCTGATGATTGAAACGCTGTTGACGATTCAGCTTAAAGTTTTCACTCGACCAAACACAATTCACACTGTCGTTGATCAAAAAAGAATTGTTTCCACATGTCTATCAGCCAAAATTTTGTTTTCACTTTTTGAGCAATGTGCTCGAGGGCATCTGATGAAGAATTTTATACATGAACCAGTGGCAAGTGGGGCACCTTTCCCGGGAATTTCTTTTTAACATATGCTCTTCAGCATTTTTGGGGGTCGTGGAATTGGTTCAACCAATCCCTGTGGTAGTTGAAGCTATTATAAGCAGGAAATGTAGTAAAAGAAATACGGTACACCTACAAGCTTGTTTTCGTGCTGAAGTACAGCCATAAACTGACATTCCAATATTGAAACAGCCTTTAGATAAATATATTAAACTCCATAGCTGGGGGTTTAATGGCAATGTGACGTACGAGTACGATCTGTGACACATCGGTGTTCCAATCAGGAGTGGAAACGACAAGACAAATTTAAACTTGTCAAGTACACACGTTTCATATTAATCATCTGGCTATTTACATGTTTACCAAGCATTTGTTCTAGTTTTCATGACATGGCTTTCCTTTAAAGAGATTGTAAAGAGGTTATCTGAAATTTATATCGGGGACACTGGAAGCATCAATTTCCACCATTCCAATTTTCAATCAGACGTCAGTGGTTCCTGCAATTCCACTAAAGCTAAGTTATTACGTCACAAATTGCGAAATAAGGTTGTATCACATAATGCCCAATTAGTGACCTCATCAAACACTTAGTTTTAGTGGAATTGCAGGAACCACAGATGTCTGATTGGAAACTGGAATGGTGGAAATTGGTGCTATCATTCTCATACAAATACATAATTGAGAACACCTGTTTACAATCCCTTTAAAACCAGTTCAGCTACAGTATATGTAGAACTCTCCAGTCGAGTTCCAAACCGCTATCATAAAAGCAATAATTTGTAAAGGTTCGAAAGTAAAATAAAACAAAAAGAAAAACGACGTTTAATCTTTATACTTCAATAATTCATGCTTTGTCAGTCTTAACAGAAATAGTACAGTTAATATAGATTCTATGAGATAAACCAAGAATAAATAATGATTATTGTAATGAGAGTTACGTACCTTGTTTAAGCCTGCATGTTGATGATGTAGGAATGGTTGGCGGATAAGATGATCCAACAATACAGGACCAGGAATGTTGAAGATCATCCGCCGATACACTGGCAATAATGAGAAGTATGGACGAGAGGTTATTAGTTGATGAGAAGGCATACAGTCCTTGTTTGTTCACAGGAACCACACATTTCAAGTCTTTTGAGCAAATGAGGACGCTGTCTCTGTTCCTGAACCATGTGATACCATGGGCTATTGGATTTCTCATCCTACAAGTTAAAACATGAGGTTTCCCTTCATCCACCTCATCACCACAATCAGCTGTCGTCACAATGTCATATTCTATAATATAATAAACTGAATGAAGCAAATTACATGATAGCTAACATAGTACAACACCAAACATATACTATGGTAGTTTCATTCCTGGACAGGGGATCAAGATGTTTCCGCAAAGTCGGCTTCCAAAACAGTACTTAGCTGTGAGATGGATGGAGACTTCAACATTACGATGGGAAACTAAGGGAGTGTGTGTGAGTATCCTATGGTAAAGCTAAAACTAGATACTCTCCAGATACACTACACTGTGTATATGGCAATAGAGATGACCATCATCACTGCACAATATCTCAATAGAAATATCCTGTGATTTCAAGTTCTAAGTAATGACACGATATGGCTGTGAATCATGGTATTGTAACCATTTCTAAATATGTTCCGTCATAAAAATCTTTCGCAATCGGATCAAGTTAATTGTTTTGAAACACCCAAGAATCATAACATCAAATATCAAGGCCAAGGTTGATCAAATGTGTAGAACGTATGTGTGATATGAAACAACGCAACAAAAATGGTTTCAGATGATTAACAAAGAAACTGATGTCTAGCCAAAAGGGAAATAGCTTATTCTGTTCTATGTAATTCCATTCTCATTATGAAGTGATTACAACCGATCATTTCACAAAACCTAATAGTATTTTAAGCCGGAGTGTCCTGTAGCAGTTTGTTCCATGATGGTTAAAGCAAGGTGTAGAATAGATATTTAGAAGTAATAGTTGTATCAATTGATTTCCAATTGCTAGACGCTTAATACCAATAAACCCTAATCACAATGTAAATACAACCATCAAATTGATTTATTTTTGTTCTAACCGTTCGATTACAACATATTAGCGCGAACGACAAGAAAGATTACATTTAAGAGCTTAAAGAGAAGTAGGTCAACCGCGAGGTTAAGCTCAAATTGCAATTCATGCACGGGAATAAAGTTCCTTAGTATGTCTCATATAATAACAAACAGAATTAAGTTAGCTCTGTTTCTTTTTGCCAGAATATATTATTCAAGCGACATCTTATTTCAGATATCATTTCTTTAACCTTTCGGTGATAGAACTGCGGTGTTCAAAGGATATAACACCGAATCATTAGTGCGGATGAAAAGGGTAACTATCTATTGCACAGTGTAAATTTCTAATGTTACTAACCTCTCTTAATCTTGCAGCTAGAAGAGACTGACATGGTAGGAGAAAGTTTGGTATCATCAACACACGACCAGGTCATTTCCATATCTTCTTCTGTTATTTTATTGATAATAAACTGATGACTGGTGGCAGAGTGGGCTTCTGGAAAAACTTGGTATTTTTCACGGTTAGAAGAAATACAGAAACCTTCTTTGAAACATGTGATTATTTTTTCCACACCACGAAACCAATTGATTCCATTGGTTATTTCACCAGATATCTCACAACCCAGTGTATGTGATTTTCCTACCAAGGCTGGTGCACCACAATCAGCTGTTGTCATCGCCTTCCCTGAAAAAGAGAATTGAAGATCGTTTATAAATGTAGTATGATATATATGTACTCGTTTCTAATTGTGTATGTGGTCTAGTGTCCACAACTTGCACGTCCACATAAGTATTTTCTGCTCTACCATATCATTAATCTGGGCCCCTTTTCGTGCGGCTACAAATGAAAACAGTCATAATGGTAAAGAACAATTGGAAAATCGTGGTCCATCTAAACGTTGCGATTATATTTCCAAGTATTTAAACAATAACTTGCCAAGGAATGAAATGTATGTACAATACACAAATTATTGTAAATGTTTATGTTATTGAAACTACAAAAACGTCAAAAGTTAATTTTCTGTTATGTACGAAATTCAAACTCTTATTGAATTTACAATGATCCTAAATTCAGACTGACAGAATAAATACCAGTGAGAATTTTTACCAGCCTAAATAATGAGAGTTACATAGCTAAAAAATGTTTTGTAAGAAGAGAATTTGTAAGAACAAGTATTGAGAACTATTTGTTACGTCTTGCAAAGCTGTCACCTTGATAGAGTAATCTGTATCAAAACCTTGGTAATTTGTCATGATCAACTGATGTAATTGGTTAGAAAACATTAGAAGGAACGAGGTGGTTTGTATCTTATAGATATATCGTTACATTGGATTCAGCAGTAGAGTCAAGTTGTCTCCCGACTGAAAATGTATTCCAATTGTCAGGGTTTAAATGAGTTCAAGTAATTTTGACCCATGCCAAATCAAATGCCACAAGATTTGATCTTTGACAGACAATGGACGTCCTGAATGTAGGATTTGACATTAGTCTCCAGCAAAACACACGCGTCTGAAAGCTTTAACGAAGTCGTATATATGTGCTGTAAGTGGTGTAAACAGAATTTCACAAATGATCATTTGCGCGACCCTACTACACCAGTCCAGCTAGACATCTTTCTGATAGGCGTAGGAGTGGGAGTCAGAGGACTGTTACCGCCTCGTTTATCAATCTATCTGTTTGCAATTGGGCATCGATCGGAAAGAGTTATCTTCGGGCATTATGACCACAAAAACAGTTTACAGCTTAACGTCTTTCTATTAAACTGCATCTGTAACCCCAAGTATGAAAACGAATCGATTAGGAGTGATACCCATTAACTATATAATCTTTTAAAAGCGAAAGGTTTCCAGATTTTTTTAACACATTGCCATCATGAAAGTATTCTCTCAATCGACCCAATCTGGTTGTTTCTGAAAAGAAACTGCAATCAAATTTCAAATCCAAGACACAATCAATCAATTGATCTTAGGAAATCTGATAAATGATTAAGAGGATTGTATCCCGGTTAAGGGGGATGCCTTATTCTAGCAAATGTCATCAGAGAAATTTTCTTTCGCATATCTAGCTAGTACGTTCTATCAACTTTCCAATTTTGTCTTGTGCTTTACCTGGTCATACTTCACAATTCTAATAGTTAAATTATATTGTTTTTTATTTAAGAATTATTGCTATATCATTTTTCTTTAAGCAACCTTTCAAATCTCAAGAAACTAATAATCATATGCTGATACTTCAAGTTCATTGTAACTCTCAAGTCAATTGGAATATCTGTAGGAAGTGTCACGGATAATTTGTTTAGGTCGAGTTGTAGCTTTCTGTTATCATTGAGATCAATACACAAACAAAACTTGTAACAAATTACCCCGCAACATGTCAATCACCCACTAATATTTAGTTTACTATTATTGAAATTCTTATATTATATTGATGTAGAGTAAGTTGATGTTAGTCACTTTGATTAACTCTTCCTAAATAAGATTACTGTATTATTATCCTTTATCATGGAGCTTTATCTAGCAAAAGATTGTTTGATATCCTTATTTTTAGTCGCACTTTTCATTCTTTTGACTCTCTTTATCGTCCTTTTTCTTAAGGATTTAAAGTTTCACTATCTAGTAATTGTCTGTCTGTAGCTTATCGTTTACCCCAGAGCTTTATAAGAGCACTATCTTGTAAATCAGGCCTGTGCAACCTGTCAATTGCGGCCTGCGACATGATTTCGTGCGGCCCGCGGCGACATGTAAAATGCTGCCCGCGAGCAAATGGTTCGTCAATGTCGGCGTGGCCCACAGATTATCGCAGACTAATCTGATATCGAAACCCATTATATCCGCGCTGTTATATCAAAGTATGACGTCAAAATGAATCTAACCAATCAAATCGTTAACGGTGTCTGAAACAGTGATTTTAGGTAAATAATATGTCTGTTATTTGATATGCACATTGAAATACGTTATTGAATAAATGACTTGAAAAAACTATTGCTTCTCATTGTTAATTCCATGATTTATTGATGGTTGGTTACGTCGCCCACGGCCTACTCACATCCCCCAAGTGTGGCCCTCCGTTGCGGAAATGTTGCACAGGCCCTTCATCTTGAAACTTCAAAGGTACACATCCTAATAATTTACTACCGGTGACTTATCCTTATTGGTTGTCTATAATAGGCCTTACTCTCAGAGGTTTCAAATTGCAATAGCTTTAAAGCTGCGCTATCTAGTACTTGGTTGTCTATCATTACCATTACCCTAAGATCTTTAAAGGATACTATCTGGTAATTTACTGTCTATTATTACCCTTACTCACAGAGGTTTCAAGTTGCAGTATCTAGTAATTGACTGTCTATTATTACCTTTTCCCTCGGAGGTTTAAAGGGGCATTTTTTAGTGATGGACAAACAGAAACTCCGATGAACTCCATGCACATAAATAATATTACAAACTGTCACAACGACTTTAAATATGTTTAAAATATGTTCAGTCACATCCTAATAACCTGATAATTTTCTTCATAAAACAATATAATGTCATTAGAAATATCCAATTGAAAGGCAGGATTCCATTAAGTACCTTATTTTCTAATGATTCATCCTGTTTTTATTAGATCATTACTACAGGCGAGAATGTTTCAATTTATAAATTTCTATGGGGTCAAAATGAGTTGAACAGTAACATTGATTAGCTACTACTGGTTTTCTTCAACCAATCAAGTTTCAGTTCTGCCATTCTAAGTTTATTAACTGAATCTGTAGTTTAGTTGTCCTTATTTCTTCTCGTCAGTGTAGCACGACACAGAAACCATGGCATGCCACTGTGTCTAAGATATTTTATAATAAGACAAAAAACCGATGCCACTGGTATACGTGTCCACATTAAACTACCCTCGATTATTACTGATACTTGAGATAAGAATAGGCACGATGGCGTCTCTGTTCTTAATACTGATATAATTGCGCACTGCTTGACACCGCACTTCTGAACAGATCATAAAATAACATTTCAATCAAATAAATAAATCTATATATTTCTATTTCGACATCACTGGATGAACCAATATAAATCAAAGATTGAGTTTGTAAACTCTACATCCCTTTCATTCGTATTTATTAATACCTTAGTATGTATGTGGCATAATTTCGAAAGTGATGAATTCTAAAACATGTTTTCATATTTTGTTCTCCATAATCATTACGATAATCAATAGTGCAATCCGCAAAAATCTAACACGAATCTAATATTTTTTATGATGAAGCATTAATGCATCACCTGTACCTAACAGCTGTCATCTTCAATAGATGTTAATAGCCTATAGTATTAATTTGTGTGATATAAAACGGGATAAAGAGCTGAAGAAGAGCAATAATTTGTTTAATACTATGGTTAGGGATAATTATAGAGTGAATTCCCTCAAGATTTAAATAATGACAAATTATGCTGCACTGGAAGATACAAATTATAAGAACACTGAGGTCTCAATCGTGTACTTTGTCTCGCTTACCCAGTTCTTATTGTTACTGAATCGTGTACTTTGTCTCACCTTCACAGTTAATATTACAAAATTATGTACTTTGACTCGTTGACTCGCTTTCCCAGTTCATATTATTACAAAATCATACGCTTAGTCTCGCTAAAACAGTTTTAATTATCTATGATTAATAACACCTTCAGGTACCATGCACAACAGACATTTATAATATCTCACGTCTCTATCGTTTGTTACGACGTTTAATAACAATAGATAATGGATTATTCAACCATTATTACTTTGAGATTGATCAGATTGAATCTATTATTCCTCTACTATCCATTACTGGCTCATCAATGATAGCTCGTCAAACCTGCCTTATCAATGGCGTTAGGTAGCTCGTCAAACCTGCCTTATCAGTGACGTTATGTAGCTTGCCAAACCTGTCTTATCAGTGACGTTATGTAGCTCGTCAAACCTGCTTTATCAATGACGTTAGGTAGCTCGTCAAACCTGTCTTATCAGTGACGTTAAGTAGCTCGTAAAACATGCCTTATCAATGTGTAAGGTAACTCGTCAATGACGTTAATCATCTCGCCAAACCTGCCTTATCAATGACGTTAAACATCTCACCAAACCTGCCTTATCAATGATGGTAGGTAGATAGCCTATCAAACCTACCTTATCAATGACGGTAGAAAGCTCATCAAACCTGCCTTATCAATGATGGTAGATAGCCTATCAAACCTACCTTATCAATGACGCTAGATAGCTCGTCAAACCTAGATCATCAATAACGGTACATAGGTCGCCATACTTGCCTTATTAATGACGAAAGCTACCTTACCGCACACTTATAATTGATGCTATATAGCTCGAAAGCTCGCCGATCATGCCTTATCACTGAAGCTAGATAGCTTGACAAATTTGCCTTAATAATAACGATAGTTAGTTCGCCATACTTCGCTGATAAAAACCGCTATGTAGCTCCTTACATCACAGTCCACTATATAAGTATATTTGGTTTGACTCTAGATAACGAGCTATATTTGGCGTATCAAAGGCGCTAGATTGCTCGACGTACTTGCCATATCAGCCATGGTGCTTGGCGTTTGAAAGCTCGCTGTAAGTATGTTTGGTTGATCTATGTCGCTAGGCAGCTGGTAGCTCGATATATTTGGCTTATTAATGGCGCTAGATAGCTTGGCGCCAGATAATTCACCACACTTGACTTCTCAATCGTGAGATAACTTGCATATCACTTAATGTCAGAAAACTGCTCATACCGAGGCAAGTTTGGGAACTCGTCATCCACGATTAATGACTTTAGTTAAATTAGCTTATTGATGAAGTTAGAAGAACACTATTGAATTCCATACGGTATTCATAATTCTCTTAAATTCAAATTAATTTAATTCAATCTATTCAAATTGTCATTAATAATCAGCTGGGATTCAGTTGTCAATTTTATTAAATTACGTAATTGCATAATGACTTTATTTTTTGTTATCCTGACTTATTGCATATTGTAACTGAGAGACTCAATTTCTGATATGTTATTATTGCGTGGTAAATGTTCTGAAAGAGTAGTTTAACATTATAATCATATCGTGTAACAACAATAATTTCCTTCGTAACGTGTTCCAAGTTGAATATTTCAAAATATTGATAAACGTTTAATTTATGTTACAACAAACACGGTTAGTAATGCGAATCCGTCAAAAGAGAAATATATCTTTTTTTCTGTCTTAAACAACCGAAAACACAAGATATTTTCGCATACTTTAAAGCTGATGGTTGTCCTTCTTCTAGTATAAAAAAAGAAATGACTTGCTCAAATTTAATCTTAACCGTTTCTGACTGACTTTTAGTATTTGTAGGGATAAACATGCACGTATCCTACCATTCTCATAACACATATAGATTGCAGTTTATTAATATAAACAATACATCAAATTATATTAAATTAGATTAAACGAACCAGCTCCTACTCTCTGATATATCCAATCTTTTCTATACAAATAAAATCATAAATTCTAAATCAGGAATATTATTTCTGGAAAAGGTCAAAGAATAAAAGCCCCTGGCCTCACTTTGATTAGAATATAACTTTTCTCAGAATCCAGTTCAATTTCTTTTTACTTTTCATTTATTTAATAAAACTGTGTCTGCCTTCAATCTACAAATTGATTGAATTTCAGAAAAAAAATACCGTAATAATAATGTGAAAGCAGATTTGATGATTTATTTTTAACCAAGTTATGACCAGGCGGTGTTCAACAGAGAAGTACTGGCGTGTTATATTACCATCTTCACTTTTATGATCGTGCCATTTCATCAGTTAAAAGCACAATTCAGTATTTTATTATCAAGTAATTCAAAGATAGTCATCCACGCTTCTGACCCTGAACAAGACAAGCTTCCGACTACTATCTTATCTCATTCCTGTTGTCTATTCTCTACAATTGTTTTCTGATCCTGATTCAACAGATTGATATTCTCGTCACCTATTTTGATTGGTCGAGAGGTTTGTTCACGGCCAATTGTATTCGTAGAGACAATAAGGTTCTATAATAGTACTGCTTAGCTCACAAATTCCATTTATTATGCAATACTCTATTTAATCCTCCTACTTGGTCAAGTGGTCAAGTGACCAATGGCGAGTTAAATGACTAGTCATGTATCAAGATGAATACCCTGTCAATTGGTCCTGCAGTTGCCAACTATCGTCAATCTCAGAACTTTCTTTCGACAATGTTCGATGTTAGAGCAAAAGATCGTTTATTGAGAATAGCTTCGACTGACATTATTACCAATTTTGATCGTTCTCATGAACCAACCTATTACTCATTGATACCTTCACGAATAACTAGACGAGGAACGTCAATTATAGCACTCGTCACTCTCTGTAAATGACACTGTAAGCGCATCTTCTGAAATCTTGTATATGACAGTTACATTGTATGTGAAGGAAATGACACATTTTTGTAAGTTTTTGTAATCTTTGCCAAATCCTTTTACTATTGTTGTAATAAAATATGTTTTAATCAACTATCTTGTTCCTGATGTAATTTTGTTGAGGTCATCAATTTCATTGCTATACAAAATATTTCATATGTTATGGGATTCTTAGTTGTTCTAGCTTCCAACTGTATCAAAGGTTGAAGCCTTACCGACTCGTAAGCGTTCAGGAATGACTATAAGGTCGATTGGTCTTGAAAATGTCAGCTAGTTTTACACGAAAAAAATGT